GACTTTGCATTTGCCCTGGAGTGGGGAACTGCATACAGGCAGCGGCTGCAGGGCAGCTCACTTGTTCCACCCTTGTTTTTCCCAGTCTCAGAGACTTCCCAAAGAGGTGCCCTGATGTCCCCCTTCCTAGTCCTGACCCAACACATGGCTGTCCCTGGAGCCCAGCTCAGATCCTGTGCAGAGCACAAGTGGCAGAGCAAGAACAGGAGGGGCTAAAAGGCAGACGGGGGGAAGGAGAAAACTCTCCAGCTGCAGCTGGGAAGTGGACAGGGATGAAAAAGCAATTAATGTTTTGGGGTGAAGTGGCAGGGTCTTCTCCCTAGGCCCTCAGCTACCAACTGAAGTGGCCTGGGCACCACCCAGAGCCAATGACTTGCGCGTCAGAGTGGACAAGAATGGCTTCCCAGAACTCTTTGATGGTATTTCCTCCTCCAGATTCCCCTCCCAGCAGTATTTCAGGGCTACATTCCCTGTATTGGACATCTGGAAACTGAAAAACAAGGAGGAGAAATAAAGCATGTAATAAAGTAACACTGTATGGTGGGCTCCTGGTACCACCTTCCGCTAAGGAACATCTTCCCCAGGCAACTCTGCCACATTCAGAATTGCTGCCCTGGGTGCCCCAAACAAAGTGTTTCAAAGTCTGGAAGTTTATGAGGAAAGGGCCAACATGGTGCCCAGCACTCACGTGCTTATCTCTGTTTGGAAGAGCTCAGTCTGCTTCAGTTGAACCTCAACCGTGTCCAGTTTGAACTTGGCGTAGTCAACCTGAGCACTGAGGACAAGCTCGACCTCGTGGCTGCTCTTCTCCAGGACGGTGTGAGGTGGTTCCGGGACTGCCTTGACCACCTGCAGGCAGAGGAGGGAAGAATCACTGAGCAGAGCCCAGAAAGCCAGGCTGAGCAGGGAAATCTTTTGGCCTCCAAACTTGGCCACATAGAAAGGACATTCAGGTTTATTTCTCTGGAAAGATGACAAAATTGGACTGGTGTACTACAGTATTGGTTTCTACCCACTGATCAAAGCAGTCACCACCACAGCTATTAATACACCCCTGGGGATTATGGCCAGCTGTCAGTCCCTGTGCTTCAACCCTGTAGAGCCTCTGACCTTTTCCCTGGTCCTGTATAAATCTAGCAGGTCTCAACATTAGGATTAAGTTCCCCTGCTAGAGCCCTGGGGGTGGAGAAGCCCAAGACTGACTAGTTCTAGAAAGAACTTTTTCCTTCTTGTCTTAGGAGAAAGTGCTCTCCAGATGGCACGTGAAAGGTGGGAGCAGGCTGTGGTCATTTTGGGATGTGAATGATCTCACTGCGAAAGTCTCCAACTGCTGATGCCCTGATGGGGAAGTTGGGTTTACAGGACTCACAGTGGTTCAGAAACTCAGAAAGAACCTTCACCAAGATAGGTGTGTTTGGCAATAATGATAGAAAAAGCAAGACTTTCTGGAGATGATGCTTCTCCAGACTCCTGCATACTGTCACACAGTGCCTGGGCTGCTCCAGAATGAGATATCTCCACAATACAGAGGCCACAACCAAAATCTCTGGTATCGGTGTAGGCAGAGCTTGGAGTTCACTGGTGTAGGCAGAAGAGCACTTGTGCTGCTCTCCCCTTCAGAACAAGAGACAGAATGC